AATTCTGTCAGGAGCGGAAATAAAGCTTAGCAGTTACTTTTCACTTTCTTCTTCTTCACTTCTGAAGCTGTATAGGTCACATGCGCCTTCATAGCATTTTTCTGGTGTTACGTGTCAGTGACTCAGCCCATGCAGTCCATTTGGGAAAGCCCATGCTGTTTCCCTAATGCATTTCTGGGAACAGACATGTACCTGTTGTAATTGTTTTTTCACTCCATTTTTGAAGTACAGGTGTATTATGCGATCACAGCGACCTGAAAGCACACCGGCACAGGAGGAAAGGTGATCCCGCTCGATGTGTGATATTCTACTACTGTCAAGAGCAAAATATGCAGAAAAGTAGATATTGGATGCCACTGCTGATACTCATTTGGATGACCTTAGATGCATTGTGTTTTCAGTTGAATTAAGCTATTATTCTAAACTAAGGAAACCACTTACTTTAATTGATTCTGGTTTACACAAGCTGCACACTGTTCAAGTTTCAACTGCTCATGCATCACTCATAATTACAAGAGCACAAATATTCACAGTGTGATATCCACCTAATCTGCAAAAAGTCATCATAGCTCATCTTCCAGCAAACACCGTGATACTGTAACACAAAAAGTGTAGAAAGAGAGAGAGAGTTCTCAGCAGATACGATGCAGTCGCTGTCTTTATTAAGCACACCCTGCTAGTACGGGGTTGGACTCCTTTTGTCTTCAGATTGATTACAGTGATCTCATTGTAATGTTCAAGAAACCAGTTTGAGGTGATGTGAGCTCTGTGACATGGTCCATTAACCTGCTGGAAGCTGCCATCAGATTATGGGTACACTGTGGTCATAAAGGAATGGACATGGTCAGCAACAATACTCAGGTTCGCTGTGGTGTTTGAAAGATGCTCAGTTGGTACTAAGGGCATGAAAGTGTGCCAAGAAAATATGGCCCACACCATTACACACTACCAGCAGAAACCTGAACTACTTTTACTAGGCTGGATGGATCCATACTTTTCATGTTGTTCACACCAACATGACCCTATCACCCGAATGTTGCAGCAAAAATTAACATTCATCTGACCAGGCAACATTTTTCCTCTTCATAGCTGACAAGTGCGGAACTCAGTGTGGTCTTCTGCCACTGTTCAAAGGTGCTCTTCTGCATACTTTGGTTGTAATGACAACCTGGATTGAAGCAGCCCATCAGCACATCATTCTTGACCACGTCTATAAGACTAAATATGTTGACTTGCTGCAATGTGACTGATTAGGTATTTGTGTTAAAGAGCAGCTAAACAGGTGTGCCTACTGAAGTAGCCAGATGTGGTGCACACCCTGGACAGATCACGAGTCTGCCCCACACATTCACATCTATGGGCATTGACGTAGTCCCACTGAGTGCTTTTGGACAGCTTTGGAGGAAGCCAGAGTAACCAGAGAGAGCATGCAAACTCCACACAGAATGGTCCCGGCAAGACGGTGAACTTGAACCCAGGCAACAATGCTAGTCACCGTGCCGCCGGGCTGACCTATTTCTAGTGCTAATACAATACAAAAAAATTGATTAAATGCAGCTCATATTCACTATGAAATTGAGAAACAGAGCAATCCACACCTCCTTCGTTGGCTGACTTTTTGATATCCTCTCTGCAGTCCACACAGCTGCTCAGGGAAGTCAAATTTCTCTCTCCATCAGTGTCAGTTAGATAAAAGCCAATTCAAAGGAAATGAGGCTGCACTGTCTGTGCTCGGATGGAGTGAACAGCATCTTTGAGCGACTGACTGACTGATGTGTTTTTCTACCAAATGAAGTGAGGGTGTCTTTTTTGTTTCTTTTCCCCTTGTCGTGTGGAGCAACATGTGGCTTTGATGCTGATTTTGATTTGGATCCAAATGTAAAATTAGCAATAATAGCTTACCTTCAAGAAAGGGAACCTCATTAATCCCAAGCTGCACACGCAATTTTACCCCAACTCTTTTGCATCAGAGGCAGAGATGCTTTTATGGCAGGAATACGATCGCTTTGACGTCAACAAGAGTTTGTAGTTCTTCTGTTGCTGCAGCTGCCTGAATAGACGCCATTCAAGCAGGCAAACATGAATGGCAAAGATGATTTATAAATGGCGCTGACGTCTGTTGCATTCATGCGCATGTATTAACGATATTGGACAATAAGCACACATGTAAACTCAGGGGCCGGCAGCAGCGGCTACTTCCGTTAAGGTGCACATCTCTGTGCAGGTGAGTCCATAAACAGACAATGAAAGAATGAGTCAAAGGAAGAGCAAGAGGAGTCATTCACCATACTACACCCTGTGACTCAGGACAGCCTTACACCAAGACAAGACACCCACATCATCGTCAGACAGACATTTAAACCACGAGTAAAAATGTGTTGCTGTGTGAGAATAAATTGGTAAGCAAGTTATTTTCTCCATGACAGCATATTTAATCAGGAGTAGCAGTTACTCTGACAATTTGTGCTTTGCATTAAACATTTCAGAGTTTGTCTAGTGCCAACAAAACACCACACAACAAAGTGATTTTGTCATCTTGGTGTTTAAATCACGCAGAAAAAAGAAAGCTTTCCTTGTGAATGTTTGAGCTGAGATTTACATAAAAGGACATGAATTTATTAGTTTATTTGTGTGTGTGTGTGTGTGTGTGTGTGTGTGTGTGTGTGTGTGTGTGTGTGTGTGTGTGTGTGTGGGGCTCTGCCTCTTTTTGCCTCTGTTACATTATCTTCTTTTACCTTGACATTATAGCTGAAAGTTCACCTCTATGGAATAAAATGTTCATTAGCCTCTAGAGAAGATCTTTGTAAGACTTTTCTTAAAAGATTTTAAAATTAAGACAGCAAAGGGGGAGATATTACATTTTGCTTTTTCTTGGCACCCGAGTTAATTGTAAAGTAACTCGAGAGCTCAGAGCTTTCATCAGAGATTTGGGAGTGCTACTGGTGACTAACGAAAACAACCAGTTTGCCAATGACAGCATATTAAACTGTCTTGGTTTTTCTCTCACTGCTCTTAACTCCAGCCTCCATCCTTCTATTCTCCATTTATCTACCAGATGCCCTCAGATTTGCTTCCAGATCCAGTCACCTGGCTTTGTCCCCTCCTTATTAACGCCCGTAAAGGCTGATCTTCAGCTTTACCATGCACCTGCTTCCCATTCAGCATTCCCATGAGGAATGCTCAGACCTCTACATTGGAGAGACCAAACAGCCACTTCACAAGCGCATGGCACAACACAGAAGAGCCACCTCCACAGGACAAGACTCAGCAGTCCACCTGCATCTTAAGGATAAAGGTCACTCTTTCGAGGATGCCAATGTTCACATTTTGGACAGAGAGGACAGATGGTTTGAAAGAGGAGTGAAAGAAGCCATCTATGTCCACTGTGAGCGACCATCTTTGAACAGAGGCGGGGGTTTACGACACCAACTTTCTGCCATCTATAATCCAGTTTTGAGATCCCTTCCCAGACGCCTTAACGCCCACTCACATCCTGGGCCATCTGATTTCAGGAATTCGCATGATAAGGTGGGGCCAGGTTTCACAATGAACACACCCGAAACTCTGGCTGATTGGAACCCACACCCAGTTTCACACCTTGGCTCATGCGATTAGAGGATCATCAGGGGGTCCTTTTGTCCCTCTGTGGGGGGTTACTCCCACTAGGTTTATATCTGGGACTCTCCACCATTTGACCTTAGAACTGAAGAAGCTTCTCGGATGAGAGGTGAAACGTCTTCAAGCAACTTAAAGAAGTCCAGACGCTTTTCTTTGCAAGCTCCTTTGACTACGATGACCTGGATGACTGAGAACCTTCACAGACACTTAGGCAACAACTGGTGTCAATTTGGCAGCCAAGGCAGGAAAACTAGACAGTGGCTCAATGCACTTGAGTTGGAAGTTAGGATTTAAGATACTTAGAAACAGCCAACTACAAAACATGCAAACTCATCTGTGAAAAAGAAGTGGATTGCAGGGGGCACCTAGCAACAATCAGGGCTTGCAGTTTACTCAACTATATTTCCACCTCACTGGTGAGGAAGTGTTGTGATTTTGCCATATTGTAAAAGAAGACGCATTAACTGAGTAAACTCATACCTGTCAAATGTCTGGTAGGAGATTTCTTGCACAAACATGATACTTATTAGTCTGAGTGGGGTTTATTTTCTGTGAAGGGAAACTGAAAGTTGATGGCAATATCACTCGTTTCACTGCTATTTGATCTACAAAAACTATCACAGATATTTTTTGATTAATAACCTTTATTATAATGAGTGTCACTTCACAAAATGTTCGCCTTGATGCTAGAATGTGAAGGGATCATTGAAGATATTGGTCACATGATGATCCAAAGTGGTGGGAAAACAAAAATTGCCATTTGTCAGAACCCTCAGCAATCCAACCTCATAGAAAGGAAAATCAAATTCCCAGTTTGCTTCTGTTTACTGTTAGGCTTAGCAATTTCATTAAAGCTAAGAGGAGCCGTTTCTCTTATTTGTACTGATTTTCAAAGCAATAAAAAAATGTCCTTTGGGTGATTTTTATTTCAGCTGCACACCTGTGGATATACTTGGTGTTTCAAAGGGGATTAAATTACTGTTTTTATATTGATATTTGGCATCTTTGTACATAGAACTGCTTTGAAAAAGCTACATATTTACAATAGAAAACATCATTGCAAAGAAACCGGTCATTGGGTTCACTGGGTGGATTTGATGCCAGGACTCTCTATACTGTGTAATCTAAAAAAACAAACTGGAGGGATCTGAACTGGTGTGGGTCTGCTCCATGGTTTCATTCTTTTGGCACTTTGAGTTATACACAGTTATAATCAAGAAGGTGAGAGTTGGTTTGGGGTATAAATGAGGCTTAAGAAAATGCTACTTTTATAAATAAAGCCTCAGTGTGACATAAGAATTCGCTTTTTGAATAAACACAGTGAAATTTCATGTATGTGAGCAAGTGTTGTTTATGGAATAAGACAACTCCACCGAGGAAATGCCAGAGTTTAATGTGACTATAATACAAGCAGCACTGCATAAGACACAATCAAAAGCCTGAATATATTTCATAATACAATCCAGATATCAATATACTTAAAAGAGAGTTATATAATTGTTTTGTCAGATTTTGATTTTATATCACAGCTGTTTTAATACAGGAATCAGAGTCAAAAAGCAAGCCACACTAAACAAAATGACTAAAAGTTGTACAAATGTGTGTCTCTCCAGAAACTTACAGTTAGAAAGAATTACATTTATTGCATTTACTCACAAAATGGTATGTGCATACATTTGGTTTTACCATACTGTTTTTAATTCCATTTTTATTTATGAGAAAAAACATTTTACTGAGCATGGAGTAGATGAATTTTGAAGAAAAAAAAAAAGAAAGAAAGTTTAATCCATAAATCTACATTTCAAAATGAAAATAAAACATGTAAGAAAATAGCCGTCACATTACAGTTACAGTATATTCATTGTACTCATGAAACAGTAAATACCAAAGGGAACGCAGGGATAAAATTCTCATAGAGCCTAGAAATTAAAAGAGCTCACAGCGTTAGCAGTAATAATAAAAAGTACACAAATAAAGCAGAATAAAAGCTGGAACCACTTAGTCTGTATCCTCTGATCTTCTTCTCCTGTACTTAGATATGCCTAAACATATGATTAATATTGATCAGTAGTCTATAATTACTAAAACAGTTATACTGTAATTTGGGGACTGCAATAAAAAGTGATATCAAACTGAAAATACATTCTTGATTAAAAAGAAAAATGTTGTTCATTAACTCTTTTTACGGAAATCAGTAGCTATGTTCCCTACACCATCAGGATGTGGTTTCCAAGCACGTCCTATTTAAAAAGAAAGAAAGAAAGAAAGAAAGAAAGAAAGAAAGAAAGAAAGAAAGAAAGAAAGAAAGAAAGAAAGAAAGAAAGAAAGAAAGAAAGAAAGAAAGAAAGAATCCTGAGTCCTTTGTAGGTATAATTATCTGTGCAGTCAGCAATACAGTGAGCAAAGTCATCAACTGCATCTCTGTCAGAAAAAGCCTCGACTCTCACATCTAAGAGCCTCAATGAGAGCGAGGGCAAGACTCGGATGACCCTGATTACCGGTATTTGCTGTTCTCAGGAGAAAGATGGTGCTGTGGACTAAAATCTTAAGCAGAGTATTTGTGGTTACAGAGAATACCGAGCAGTACTGTATTTAAAGCTCTCATCTTGTGTAGTTTAAATTATTTTGTTGCACTGAGATAAAGCTACTATATGGTGATTTGGCACATCACATATATTGTACAACATTAAAATTCTTCATTTCCATTGTTCTGTTGTTTTCTTGGTTACAAAGATGGCTACCAGGAAAAGTACAACAAGCATCGGTACATTCAACAGCCAGGCTGATTGATACAGCACAACACAATCTGAAAACTGTTTACGTAGCATCATAAGCAAGTACAGCAAGATTTCCAAAGACATATGTGAATATAAGCTTTAGCTTTTAGTATTTACAACCAAATGTAATAATAAAATACATTGTTTCTCAAGCAGAGTGCAACTTAAATAGTAGGTCTTTTATTTTTAATCTACGGTGAAGGACCATCAGCAGGGATGGACAGCTTACTTGAAAAATGTTACTCATTTAATACTCATGTATATGATCCTTGTCATGAGTGCAGTTAAGATGTACCTTATTTAACAACCCCAAAACACACACAGTGATGATTACAACTTCAATATGTAGAAAAACAATTAAAAAAATCTTTTAGTTCCAGTCTTTCATATTTTTTCCTCAATGGGAGGTACAGCAGACTATTTGCCAAACAGATGGCTGTGATACTGACCACAAACTCCAGAGGTCTATTACACAAAAATATTGTCTGTAGTCATATGAAATTTGCTTTAAGATGATTATAAAGCATGTTTGATAGTTCAATCAAATCAAAACAGGCTCTTAAACCCTAAAGATGGACTACGGGGATTACAATCAAGTCATTGCCAAATAAATTAAGACAATGTTGATTTAGTCTATGGGCACCTATAGTTTCCTGGTAAACTAGTTTTGGCACTGGTTTTAATTCTCAATCTGGTGTCTGTAACAACAGACAAAATAAAGAAAAGTTATCCACTACAGAGTTAAATATTAGCCAACTTTCATTCAACTTAACTTGAAACAAAATTGTATGTTTCCATGATATTAGTGAGTCATGCTTGCTAATCTTTTTTAAAAAGGGCCTTTTTGGTACTAATTTAACTAGAATTCACAAGCACATTAGGACTATTAAAGACCTTCATATCCTAGACCCTTTTTATGAAACAAAAGAGTAGCTTTTTAGAGTTATTGCGCCATAATCACACTCCTGTCTTCGGAAAACCATTGTTTGCTTTCACTGTCCAGGTTTTCAGGGTTAACATTAGCATACCAAGCTAAAAGTAGTTAGCAACACGTAAACTGGGCTTAAATGTGTCTAGTTTATGACATGTAATTTGTAGAAACAGTTTTGGATGTAGCTAGGAGCCACCTGTTTTAGAAACAGCTAGCTAAGAGGAGCTCATTCAAGCTAGCTCAGCTAGCATGTTATCCTATACCTCTTTCATCACTAAAGAAACAAAGATGGCAAAACAACCACTGGATCAGATGCATGAATTTTGTGATCCTTTACTACTTCTTCATTGAATAATCCAAATCCTGCAAAATCATACAAGTATTTATTTATTTATTTAAACAGACTGTATTACAGGTATATATGTGTTGCTTCTTTTAATACAACTCTTACTTTTTATGAAAAATTTCCACTTATTAGACCTGCACCAATCTTGTTTTTCTTTTCCTCATGCAGAGTTTTAAATTCATTGATTTGAATAAACTCACTTTCTACAGTTTAAGAGAGGTCACTGTCGAAGAAGGATGACTTTTTCTCAGTTTCAGACAGGTTTTTTTTTTCCATTAGTGATGACATGTACAGTAGCAATCACAGCCGGATCAAAGAGGCAGTAATCGTGTCCTGCAGTCACTGGTGCCTTATCCCCTCTAGTCCAGGTGAAATTAACAGCGCTTATGTGGAATATTACAGCTTTCGCGATATCCATGCGACAGAAAAAGAAAAAGTCAAACATTTGTGCAGTTAGTTGAGGGCGGCGTATCCGCTTTGCTACGAATGTCCTTGATGTCATTGAGCGGGGAGTCACTGGTTCTAATCTGGCATTTAAACACCTGCTTATAGGCCTTTCTGAAGTTCTCCGACAGGAAGGCGTAGATGACCGGGTTGACTGATGAATTGCTGTACGCCAGGCAGTGTGCAGCCACCCGCAATACAAAGGAGGCTTGGTTTAGCGGGAAGGTCCCAAACTCCACCCAGAGGTGAACTACATGATGAGGGAGCCACGACAGGCAGAACACCACCACCACCACAAGCACCGTCTGAGCAGTCTGGGATCCACAAAGGAAAGGGAAAAAGGTAAGATTTTGTCAGTATCCACAAGGATAACAAATACAGAATTTAATATTCTATTTAAGCTTGAAGTCTTGTTTACGATAGAAGAATAAAGCTTGGAAAGTCATTGATGAGATAGTGGCATGTTTGGGACCAATCTGCATTGTAAAAATTGTGTGAGATCATTAACATCCTATAATCAAGTTCCTGCCCTCCAGTAGAAGTGTTTGAGACCATGCTCATTTTTAAGTATGCATTGCTTGAGAAACATTATGAGTTATTTTTGCTAACCAATATCTTAGATTTTGGCAGCAGTATGCACATCACTGCATTCTTATCTCTGCATCAGCAATGGAAGTGTGTGGAGAGATCTGTCAGACAGTCCATTGACAGCAAGTGAAAGAGAGAGAGAGTAAGCAGGCTCTGGCTTCAAGCCAAACTAAAGTGCGCTTCAGGAGACTTTGGATGACTAATGTCCAACAACTCAGAAGATAATGGATTAATATTCTTTGTTGATATGCCATTTTTCTTTGGCCTGAGGATCGAGGAGCTCATCACACATCAATAAACCTTCTCATACCCCCATTTACATTTAATCATTTTAGAGTTTAACAGTAAATACTGAGAACTTTGCACTGATAATATTATGATCCCATACCACAGACTTTAATTAATCAACATTACATAAGTGACTTTTAACATCTCTACATGCACATTTGGGTGATTCCTATTTGCAAATGCTACGTGTTATTTTTGTTAGGTTTACTCAGTAGCATGGCAATGTGGCATACTTGTTTAATTCTTAAATCTCATGACAGCTGTGTTGACTGTTCTGTTCTTCTGTATTACAGCTGTTTTCCCCCAAAAAAGTTAAGAGAGTTTTGAACATATTTATCAATTAGAAAACAATCAACTTAAGCACAGTGCCCAAGGCAAATAGTGCGTGAGCAGTGGATGAAGTTAACAAAGAACTGGTATGAACAAAAACAGCAGATCTGACCTTAGACAGCTGTTTAAATATTTTCAAGTACGGCCTAAAAACCTTGAAAAAGCAGACGTACTGTAAATGCCTTTTCACCCGACACTTAATGAGTCACTGGTGGCATTTCATCCACAGTCTGTGTCATAAACTCATTTCTGTAGCTACTTACAAAACCTGTAAAATGATGTGACAGTTATCATAAATCAAATTGTAATCGGAAGATTGCCGGTTCAAGCCCCGGCTCGGACAGTCTCGGTCGTTGTGTCCTTGGGCAAGACACTTCACCTGCCGCCTACTGGTGATGGCCAGAGGGGCTGATGGCGCGATATGGCAGCCTCGCTTCTGTCAGTCTGCCCCAGGGCAGCTGTGGCTACAACTGTAGCTTGCCTCCACCAGTGTATGAATGTGAGAGTGAATGAATAGTGGTATTGTAAAGCGCTTTGAGGGGTCCCGAAAAGCGCTATATAAATGCAATCCATTATTATTATTATTAAATTTACATAATATCCAAGAAGAAGAAATTAAACGATGTTATTCTTCCTACAAACAAAAAAAAAGGAAGAAAAACTAATTACATGCTCCTTGATTTGCTGAGGTAGTAAGAAGATTTATTGCAGGGCTAATTACTTCTCATCAAAGATAACGGAAATATTGAAAATCCTGAATCAGGAATTCGAGCTTTCCAAGTTTTGATGGGTATAAGTTAGAAATAATATTTAGCCAACCATCTGAGCAAGTAGCTGTCAGAAGTAACAGAGCTGATGTTAAGTGTAAAGTGAAAATATTCTCAACTAAATGAATATGAGTGCACAGATTTTCACCTCATTGGAGAGCATTCTGAGATGCAGTATTTTTACTGTTATGAAAAATGAAAAGCCTAATATGTCATTTCCTTGTATGACAACTATGCAACCTACAAGGTTTTAAAAAACATTTTTATGGCAAGCACAAAAAAATGCCAGAAAGTTGCTAAATCAGCTGACTGTAAGGTCTCGATGGTAACCTAATTGTTTTGGTGTTGTAGATTTCAGCATTGCTGTTTGGTTCAGTCTAAAAAGGCACAATCTGTAAAGCAGAAAAATGACACCAATGAAGAAGTGCCAAAAACTGAAGTTCAGCTCAGTGCCACTTGACTCCAAAAAGCAAGTCTTTCGCCACAGACTCCTGTTTTGAAATGCTCAACTTTACAGCATTAAAAAGTATGATTACAGCCTATTAAAAAAGACAACTCTGAGTGGGGTGAACGTTTGTAGAATTTTTAATGGATTATCTGAGTAATTATGGCTTGCTGTGTGGAAATGTGTGCTGTGTGTGTATTACTTAGCAAAAATGTGTTGCTAGCATAGAGTTTAGCTTGCTATCCAAACTAACGTGTTTGCTATTAAAGCAACAGTTCATACTCTCATCTAAATGTGGTGCTTTTGATCCAAAAAAAAGCTAACATGACTGCCAAATGCAGAGTTTTAAACCAAATGGTGATATCACGGTGGATATGTCTTTTGGTTGGTAAGCAGTATTCACGGGCGCTAAAAGAACGCTGCTGTGTGCATCGTTAGAATCACTGTTAGGAACTTCTGAGCATAGTGATGGAGTCAAACATTCCAGCCACTAACCTGACTCCAGATACTGTTCAGTGCTGTGTGTATAGGCAACATGTTCACATGAGCGACTTTAGAGTATAATGCTATTTTATATGGCTAATATTTGTGCGGTCTGATGAAATGCCCTGCGATCCTTATTTAACTGTAACAAAATACAGTACTGCATTGATAAATTACAATAAATATAGTTTTAAAAAAATATTTTACCAGTCACATGATACTGTAGGTAAACATTTTTGTCTTGATACAAGTTAGCACTGGCCAGAGAAATCTTTCTGACCCCAACACAACTACACACATAGACACAAAGACACGGTGACTATGAACAGGTTCTCACAGTTTTAGCGCAGTATTACAGTAAAAGCAGGGTTTTGTTTGAATGGTGTCCATAAAACATTCACATCTTCCCCTAAACCCACAGAGAGGCAGTCGTTAGGTTATTGTAAACGACTGCAGCAGAAACACCTTCTGTCATAAACTTTTAGCTCATCACTCAAGAACTGATTTACCTAACAACCCAAAGGTGATTCTTTCGAGTTTTTAAAGTCAAAAATGGACACCAAGATGACTTTTCTTCAAAGAGAAACACAAGAAAAACTGTTATCATGTTGGGAAATTATCATTTGGCAAGTTTGTGCTACATTTTTGATATTTCCACAACTAATCATCACTAGTAATCAAAAAATATCATTTGGATTCACAGTTTTCTGCAGCTCTTTTTAAATGTTCATTCAACATTGTTCTCATTACTCCCGAAGTCACTGGGAAATTACTGCATGCTGTTGGGTGTCAGTCAATTCATTCAGTCTCCCAGGCTTCAGATATGCATATTACAGCCTACACACATTCTTAAATAATTTCAGAATGACTTGGCCAAACATTTATTTTTGTAATTATCTATAACCATCTGTGTTTTCCATCTGCATAACAGACTCAAACTCCTAAGATTTAACACTGCTTACTGCATGGCTCCTCAACCTCAGATTTAAAACAGAGAAAAAAATCCAGACACATATAATCAGAAAGGATTTGTAGCATATATGTGACACATATATAAAAAATCAACTCCTTGCAAAGACCTTGCAGAAAAGAAAGGTTCGTATTCCCTATGGTTTCCTAGATTTGTGTGTTGACAGTGTGTTGTGTTGTGACTTTTGAAGGCTGTGTGATTCCTCCTCTGTGAGGCTGAAGTCGATAAGAACATTGGTTGTGTTTCACAACAGCCATGGGAGCAACCTTGGTCTTCCCAGCTGCTTTTAACAATATATTTCACCAGCCTGACAGAGAGCAGCTGAGACCTAAGTTAAACCCATTTCTGCACAAATTCCCTTTGCTTTCACCAGATGCAATTTATTCTTTTTACCTGTTGATTTTCATCTTTTATGGAGGGAAACCCTTGGTAATATGTCTGTGTGCTAATAGTATGAAAAAGAAGATTAGAACCAGAATGTCAGTCGGATTTTTGCTCATCTGGCTCATCAGGATTTGATATGTTTTAGACGTAATGGATTTAATCAGCATTTTGAAAAATATGCAGATTTTCATTCATGTACAGTAAACTGATAGGACTCTGATACCTCTCAGTTATAGCCTACAACCCAGAAAAAGTGGGGAACAGCTAAGTTCACCGATTCATTTTATTGGGGTGTTATTTGTGGGATTATTTTTGACAGGCAGTAAGATGGAGACAACAGGATGTCCTGAAATGGTCTGCTCTTACATAACATCATCTTATCGCAGATTAAACCTTCAGGTCAGCTTTCAAGTTGTAATTGTGAGCCTGAGAAATTTGGTGTTTTTTGGACAAAACAGTCAGGTCCATAATTTACTGGACAAAGATGCATTTTTTTTTAGTTTTGCCTCTGTAAACCACCATAGTTAATATGTGATTGAAGTACAAACCCACAGCTTTAATTCAAGAGTCTGTGTATGTTCCCAGTCATCAAAGTCATGGTAGTCTAGGCCCTTGAAAAGAAGAAGCCTCGTGGATGAGAGGTGACGCATCTTCGAAAAACTATAATAAGTCCAGTCGCTGTCTTTTTCAAGCTCCTTGGACTTTAATTCAAGAGGTTTAACTTGACCCCAGAGGGTTTGCATGAACTGAGGACTGTTTTAAATAGAATAAGAATTGCAGTGACTGCCTGAAGTCTTGAACTCATGGACATCATGTCTTCCTCCTTTGAGATGCTTTACATTCAACCACCTTCCGTTGCTGCTTGTTTGTGGGTCGTTTTGTATTCAGTCTTGCATTTATGAACACAAAACGCTGCTCAACTTGGTCGAGCTCAGGTGACTCCGTTGGCATTTGAAGAACATTCCATGTCTGGGACTTTAGAAACTTGGATTGCTTTGCAGCTTTCGCTTATAAAACCATTTGCACTTTGATGCACTGTCTGATTGTTTTTGCAGCATTTTGCTGAATCTGACCAGAGAGTTTTCTTCATAATTCATCCTCCTACTTCTATCAGCGGTCATGTCATCAATAAACACCAGTGATACATTTCTACTGACAACCATAAGTTGTCTCCTCCAAGTTTTTACAGATAGTGCTGTATGCTTCACATCATGAGCTGCTTCTTTCATTCTCCATACTGCTCACTTGAGGTTATCCTGGTACAAGTTCATCTTCGTTTCATCTCCCCAAAGATTTCTCTGAACTCTGCAGACTCTTGTAGATGTTTTCTGGCAAAGTCTAAACTGCTGCTAGCGTAGCCAGTGGTAAATCTTCTGTTCTTGCATTCATGAAGGCGTACCGAACTCTTTGAGAGTGTTCTTTAATTGGTTAGATTTTGCAAAGTGGTTTATCTTAACCTCACACAGAATTTTGTCATCATGAACTTTAGTTATCTTCTGTTCTTACAGTGTTGCTGAGCTGGCCAGTTCATTCATTCTTTTGAAAAATGAACCAGATTATTGTTTTGGCCTCTCTTCAAGTTTTATGCTATCTCTCTGAGAGGTTTGTTTTGTTTTTTGGCCTCCCTTGCCAAACATCTGACACCGCCTTAGGTCTCATATTAAAAATACAGTGAAAAGCTATCAACTATAAATTCAACACTTTGAATTAACTTCAGATATTGTCCATCCCTCCATCCAGATAATGTGTCTGCTTCTTTTTTCATGAAAAACAAGGTAACGCTACTTACCTTCTCAGTCAATTGTCCAAATACTTTAGAGCCTCTGAAAATGGGACACTGTGTATATAAATTGCTGTAATTCCTTAACCAGTAAATTATCATTTTTACAAAGCTTCTTGAATTAAAGCTTAAAGTCTGCACTTCAATCATATCTGTTTGAATTAAAATCCACTGTGGTTTATTTGTCTAACAAAGTATAGACCCAACAGTATGTGCTACTTTGTTATATGAATTATGTTTTCAATAAATCTGTGGGAAAATGTCTGCAAAGCCCCCATAGTTTTAATTCATAGCCCAGTTTATACTGTTACGACAGGAAAGAAGTTCATTAGCACTGTACGCGGGTAATAGCAGCTTCCAGTATTTACTGTATGTTGAGATAAGCTAAGCCACCTCCTCGCTGTATTTTTAAAGGACTGATAAGAGATTTTTTTAATTAAATCAAGAAAGCTGTAAAGCATATTTCCCAGCACTCCAAGCTGCAGCCCAGACTATTCTTCATATAATATGACCAAGCCACTGTGGTTAAGTTACTGGTACCAGCCAAGTTAGTCTCTGAGTCAGGCTGCTGAGAAATCAACCAGGGGTTTGATTCACTGTTGTGCTTGTGCCAGAACACGTGTCAGTCCAAAAATAGTTTCCTCTTGAAAGTGTGTTTCATTTAGTGTCTGCCATTTCACACCATAAGAGGAAAGACAAAGAAGTGTAAGTAGCTTAAATCCCTCTAACCTGTTTGTAGATTAAATGATAGAAATAAAAGTAATAAAGTAATAACCTAGAACAGGGGTGTCGAACTCCAGGCCTCAAGGGCCGGTGTCCTGCAGGTTTTAGATATCACCTTGGGTCAGCACACCTGAATCAAATGATTAGTTCATTACCAGGCGTCTGGAGAACTTCAAGACATGTTGAGGAGGTCATTTAGCCATTTAAATAAGCTGTGTTGGATCAAGGACTCATCTGAAACCTGCGTGACATCGGCCCTCGAGGCCTGGAGTTCGACACCTCTGACCTATAAGGACTGTAGGTATTACTAAACACTTCTCCTAAGACACACTGGACTAATCAGAGAGATACTGCCAAGGAAACACAAAACATGCATATTCATCAAAAGTGCATACACATGATCCAGTTTTCAGTATAAAATTCTCATCTTTGTCAGTTTTACACCGGCTTGTATTTTTCCTCACTGCAGCTGCTGATTCCCTCTGAAAGTGTGTAAAAGTGCTCTCTTCTGACATTCATTTTAGTCTCTCAGTACCTGCAAACGTAATTTATGTATTACAGGGTTTAATGATTTGTTGGACGACCATTTATCACAAAGTTATTGGTGTGACAATCTCTTCCAGGACTCCCCGCATAGCAAACACAATAAATCATCAGAACATCAGAAATTCCCGATTCACTTTCCACAGTTGTTTAGGTTTCAGGTCATAAAAGCATGTTTCTAGAGAAGTACGCACGAAAGCACATGTAAATCCTCATCGGTCCATCTCCCCAACTGACCGGGAGTCTGTACTCCTGGCTTTGTAACATTGTAAGCAGTTATCAGATGCTGTGACATATAACAGACAGACATATCGGTAATCAAGTAGGCGACTGCAGATAGCTACTCTCAGGAAAGTCAAATGACCTCCAAAGAGTATGATAGTCTAGATGGCAGCTTGATTGTGCATTACCTTTTGGCCATCAAGCTCAAGTGCACCAGTTAATAGTACACGTACACAATATTGCATTTATATTTATTATTCTGGCTACAAGGGAGAGTCGGAGGTAATGATTTGGTGTATGGCTATTCCTGCACCAAATTATAGGTGCTGGACTGTGGTCGGCCAAATACTTGAGTGAATTCTTATTCTTTATTCAAAAAAATTAATGCATAAACTATCAATGGCTATACTATAATGGCTATTCCCCAACCACCCAACACATCGCTATGATACGTACCTTTTTCTTTGATGCCTCTGACTTTTTGGACATATTTCTTAGTTTTTTGTGCAAGTGATTTAACACCTGTAAACAAGGGATACAGAAGTCAAATGTACATTTCTTTAGCAGTAATTCCTCTAATTATATCACTGACCTGTGTGAACAGCCTTTTCTTACCTTTGCATAACAGAAAGAAATGAGCAGCAGAGGCAGCACATAACCAAAGATAAACGTGCAAACCACATAGATCTTCTTCTGGTTCTGATCCGGCCACACTTCCCAGCAAAAGGTGTGATTTTCCCCTCTCTGAAAAATATTCTGGTAATACATGATAGGCGCAGCCATGGCCAGGGAGAGTATCCAAATCACCACCACACCAATAAGAGCGTGCTTCGCCACCCGAATAGAGGACGACTTTCTGGAGTGAACGATGGCAATGTATCGGTCCACTGACATAGCGGATAGGGTGAAGATGCTGACCAGCATAGAAACAGTGAAGAAGTAGTGGATGAATTTGCAAATAAACGCACCGAGCACCCAAGTGGGCATCATGTAGATAGTGGACTGGAAAGGGATGCAGAAGAGCAAGTAAGACAGGTCTGCTATGCTTAGGTTCAGGATGAATATGTTGGTGGTGCTTCGAGGTTTTCCCGGTTTGCTCCGGGCCAGCACGGTGATCACCATGGAGTTGCCCAGCACGCCGAGCGTAAAGATGAGCCCGAAAACCAGAAGCGTGATGAAATTATCCGTGCCGATCCCGAATAAAAGTTTCTCGTCCTCCTCCTCCTCCACACGGCTGAGGTTCCAGGGCTCTTCCAAGAGCCAAACAGAGTCTGTCAAGTTCATTATTTATTCTTTGCTCTTCGGATTAAGTTAAAAGGTAATCAAAGGCACCTGCAGCTGGTCTGTGCTGCTTCATTGCACGGAATTTTCTGGGCAAGGGTTTATGGTCAGGTACGTTTCCATCAGCGTTCCTGCAGACAGTATTGTTGCTCTCCTGTGTCTTTGTGTCGAGACTTCGGTAAATCCCCCTCTTAGCTTTCTATATTATATTTGTGTATATTTCAAAGCGATCTCGGTTTTTGTGCAGCGTTAAATCAGCTTTGCAGCTGCGCGTTTTGGAGTCGCTCTCCCGGCGCGCACCTGACCCGAGCGCGCAGCGACCGCGCCGATCCAGTCTGTTGCTTCTTTCTCCGCGTCGGGACTTTTTCCTCTCAGATTAGAGCAGGGGCTGGGCTCTACCGCTGCACGTCAGCATCAATACCACCTCCCAAGAAATAAGGGGGGGAGCGAGAGAGAGAGAGAATTAATGGAATACTGTTTATTCTACGTGTTTCCGAAACCATCCCATTAAAACTGAACGTCAAAGTAATTTTCCTTATCAGATTCAGTTTGTTTGTGATACTTTACGGCCAAGGTGCAAATGCTGCTCTGATCACAGGGCTGGTCTGTCAAATGTGCAATAAACCACAAAACAATATCGTTCGCCAGTCATGGTCTGATTGGCTTAAATGGCTTTTATCATAGAAAGAAAATAAACTGCCGAAACATGTTATAACAAATGGTACTTGGTTGCAGTGTCATTTTTATAATGTCTGCCTTATTTCACCCAGTAAAAAGGAAATGTACATTCTGATGCACTTTTCTGATTAGGAAAGCTCTCATTTGTCTTATTTGACCAGTTTTTAAGTTTAGGTTACTCAATAATATGAACAATAATCAAATCACAAGCAGACGAAGATTGTTTAGCAGATGTTGACCTTAGTGTGCATGTGTGTGTCTGTGTGTGTTCCCTCAGATTGTTGTGATCCCTCAGAAGACTTGGGGAGTCTTTTTTCAAATCCAAGTTGACAAGAATGTCATGCATGAACTGTTAACTTATTGTTCTGTGAATAACGTGGCGGAAAAGCCACTAAAAATACATTATGGAAATAACACAGGGGCACCTTGACTTTTTTCCCTCTAAACAGCAACAGTGAAAATAAATTAATACCAGCCAATTTCCAAGAGTCCAAAGTGACATTTTCAAGTCGCTTGAGTTGTCTTGCAGGCAGCAATCAAAAACTAGAAGATGCGCTGTGTACTATTAAAAAAAAAAAGCAACAACAGAAATGCTGCAAATTCTTGCAAGAGAAAAGCAGTTTGACCGTTTTATTTTTTGCAGTAAAACTGCAAAATATCTGCCATTCTGCTAATAAATGTAACCACTAATCTCCAGCTCTACTCAGGATTTTTAGAATTTGCTCTTCATCTATAGAAATGTATTATTGTTGAGCACTACAGGTGAATCTCAGTGAATTTTAACCATGCATGCTCAGTCATCCTTACCTGAATGATTGAGCATGCATACAACCAGTTAATAAGCTCAAAGACCCTTAACAAGAATTGTACCTGATGTGAATTGCTTTAAATAAAGAATGAGTCTACCATGGTGCTCCTTACCCTCGTGCTGATTAGGAAAATGGATTTTACTGTGTCGCCTTTTTAATCCACTCTGTAATAAGTCAGCTGTTTGCACATGTGATTTTGTAAATTGTTGCTTGTTTATAGGTGAAGTAGCTTCAATATAGCAATATCGTTCATTTGGAGCCACATTTGGAGCTTCCTTGAAACTTTTAATTAAATCATTCAGACATTTTTTCCTTTGTGCGAGCTCCCGTGGGAACTTTTTATACAAAGCCAATTGCAAAAACGTTGGGAAAATGTTTCCAAAAATGTAATTAAAAACAGAATCCAGGAACATATCAGCCTATTTTAAATTTCATGACTGTGTGTTTCATGTGGGTTTTTACAAACTTTAGACAGGGTCATGTTTACCACTGTGTAGCATTCACTCTTCTTTTAACAACATAGACATTTGGGAACTAAGGAGACCAGCTGCTTGACTTTTGGGAGAGAAATGTTATCCTATTCGTGTCCAATACAGGATTATAGCTCCTGGAGTTTCTTTGATGTGTTTTCCTTTTCATCATGCTCCAAATGTTTTCGGTTGGTGAAAGGTCTGGACTGCAGGCAGGCCAGTTCCTCACTCTTAACTCTTCTGGTATGAAGACACGCTGTTGTGATAGATGCAGTGTGCAGTTTAGCATTGTTTTTCTCAAATATGCAAAGCCTTCCCAGAAAAGTCCCCACACTATCAGAGATGCAGGCTTGTTAAAAAGCCGGATGGCCAATCTTTGTCCAGAAGACAATTTGTTTATGTTTTCCAAAAGCAATTTCAAATTTTGAGCACAGAGCAGTATTTCACTCTGCCTAAGTCCATTTTAAGTGAACCTAGCAGCATGATCTTTATATAAGGCTTCTTCTTTGCATGACAGAACTGTAACCTGCATTTGTGGATGGCATGGAGATTTGTGTTCACAGACAGGGCTTTCTGGAATTGTTCCTGCACCCGTGCAGTCATGTCCATGTTTTCAATGTAATGCTGCCTGAGGGGCCAAAGATCACTGGCATCCAATACTGACTTTCAGCTTTGTCCCTTGTGTATACAGAGATTTCTCCAGGTTCAAAACACTAGAAGTATTTGCAATTTTACATTGGGAAACATTATTTTGAAATTATTCCAAAATATTATTTCGTAAAATTTAGATGTAGTTCTTTTTTTTCCTTTTTCCTTTTTTTTTAAGAGTGATGAACCTCTGCCTCTTTAAGATGCTCTTTTTATACCCAGCCATCTTACTGGCCTGTTAGACATTTGAGAAGTTTTCTATGTTCTGTTACGATTGAATAAAATACATGCTTGTGAGATTTAGAAATCAATGCATTCTGTTGTTTACATTTTACACTGTCTTTAAACTTTTTGGGAACTGGATTTGTAATACACTGTATTACTGTTTGCCTTTCAATGACACAGACAGGAAACATCCAGGAAGAAACCACTTCTGGCATCAGCCTCAAATCCTGAAGGAACTAGAGATTTTCTTGGAAATATGGCCATCCTTTTTGATCTCAGCTACACATCTGCAGAGTGTTATTACTGCATCCTGCACAGCTTGACATTACTGTGTTAGCAAGTAGGCACCGACAGAAATCAAGACGGACCTTTGCTGAAGCATGCTAAATCTTTGAATTGGACATATGGCTGCGTTGTGTCAAAGTCATTTGTTTACAGTCTTTGTAATTAGTTTATTGCTATCAAATGCAGCAGGTTAAATTGGCAGCATATTTGTTTCACGATGCTGTTAAGCTACTTGAAAGGTTACTCGCATCCATCTAACTTTACAGCAATCTGCCGCCCCTGCCTTGAATGTCAGGCAGCCCTTGTTTAAATCCAGTTTGCTGCCTTCACCTGACGTATTTCATAACGTGGACAGACTTTTTTTGTCTTTTTTTTTAATGCATTTACAGCATGTTCTGCTTGTAAAGCGTTTCCTTGTGGACAGTGATTGCTTCCATGTCAGAGAGTAAAGTCTTTTTTCCTGTCTATTGTTTGCCTTTCTTCTTCTCTCCTGACAGCCTTGCCGTTGGTTTTGTGCTCCGTTACCCTGAGCTGTGTTGGAAAATGAAATGCTCACGGGTTTATCGAGCTCTTCCGGCAGCAGCGGCAAGGCGGGTGAAAGGCGTAGATGAGGACAGGTCAAGGTGGAATAACTCCGTACTTTCTGCTCCTGCCAGATTTTCAGATTATCACAAGTGCAACTCGACACTCGGCGTGCCTCCCGGTGAACAGTAACTGGTGAGGCCGCAAGCAGAATGGAGTGCACTCACATCTCAACAGACATTCAATTTGGGCGTGATTCAATTGCATGTGACCTCTGAATGCTCAAAATAATTGTTATTTTAAAGGTCAGGCGCAAAACAAGCAAAGCAAACAGACACAAGAGTATTTCAGTGTAATAAAACATATCATTTGTGTGCATGCTATTAATATTTTGGATATTGTGTGCCCGCAAAGGGCCTGGCAAACAGACTTAAATGTGTTTTTTAGACCTTAAGAATTCAACAACATTCGTTTTGGTGACAATAATGAATGTAAAATCCCATTAGACGGCTCTAACTTTAACAGATGCCTGTGTTTTGGTACCAGGCTTTAGGGGGCTTAATGACAAATTGCAAAAAAAATAAAAAGAATGGTCACAATCAAAAGCAGCAGAAGCCTTTTAGCCCTCGTTTGTGTCCCACTGACTCACAGAGGATGTATTCAGGCTGCACAGAATTCATGCATGCTGCTGTTCCATGCAAATCTCTGCTGGAGGTGAAGCTTTTTTCTTGATTTTCTTGATATCAGAGCACAGGTTTTGTAGGGGTTTCCAATGAGTAGAACGTGCCTATTTTTATGAATTAGAAACACTGCATCTGGCTCTTAGCTCTTCCTGAAATGAACTGGGCATGCTTGAGAGCACTTTTTTTTGCAAGGGGAAGGATAGATTTCAAGCATCATTGCTCTATCAGATATTGGCAAAAAGGAAAAGGCTGTTATCAGTTATTGAGAATTTCAGGAGTTAGGGCTGGAAGTAATGCAGTCTTTTCATTACTTTTATTGCTGAACTATTACAGACAGTTGCCAAGCCACAGCTTTACAAACATCTTGAGGTAATGTGTGTGACGACTGGTGTAAGACTCACAATATATTGGCTTTTTAACACACTGAATGGTGAATTTGAGGAACCAGCTATCTAACAGTAGCTATTAGCCTGTTAGTCAGACATTGCCTAAGATGAGTTTTTTAAAGTAATTTGAATTTTACCATGCATGACCATTGTGGTGGCTTCTGTGTGAGAGATCTTATCTCTTCTTCTTCTTCCCTTGTAATTAAACCTAACAGGGTGAATCCAGGTAATATTTAATATCAATCAGGTTTCTTGGAACTCATTTTCCAAAGTGTAGAGATAAAGTAGAGCTGCTTGTATAATGAGACTTTGTGCCCTTTGGGTGGTAACCTTGTTAGCCTGACCATTCAGAATGAACTCAGCATTTCCACCCTCATACCTTTGATTATGAAAGAATTGAAGCTTTTTCTGAAAATAGATAGAGCCCTTGAGTCAAAAAAGTAAAGGCCAGTGTGGAGGTGGCTCAAATCTGATTAATTTTAACAGTAAACAGTCTGGGACTAGTCAGACTGAGTATGGGTCTATGAGAAAATGTGTGGTCACATTATGTGATTTAACTGTGTATGTAGTGCACAGATTTGTGTGACTTTGTTCTTAGTTTTTGTGACGCTGTT